AATGATGATTTTTAAAGAAACTATTCAAACACATTAACAAAGGTAACAAAGGGCACTTTGGCAAATTGTGTGGATGCCTTTCTATACTTCTTTTAATTGCCCCCGTTTGATTTTCCAGTTTAAACCTGGAAGAGAATGCAGGTAAAAAGTACGCCACCTCTCCAGCACCATTCTTTTCAGTTGAAGTGAATGTTATTTGTGACAAGGCTATGGGGTTTTTTTGTTTGTTTTGGGGTGAGATGGTATTTTTTTTTTTTTTTTGGTTTTGAACACTCCTTGCAACTTTTACCACTCAGAAATAATTCCTTTTCTTTGTTTCATGAATTAGAAACAATGAGGAAAAGCTGAAGTCTGCTTAGGCCAGGTGTTTCTTGTTGGCAGGCTGTTCTCTAATGACTCTGGCTCTCATACAGCAGCTGCCTGCTAGTCTCTTTTGTATGGGCTATTGTTGTAGCACACCCCTTATTATTACACATGCTGCCAGGGGCAGACCTAAGAATGACATCAGCTTGCTTCTCTTAGAAATCTACAAACCTGACGTAGGGTAGAGAGTTTGCCGTGCATCTGCCTGGCCAACTAATTGTGAGCCTTTCCTGCACTGTGATTGGTGGTTCTTCTGCTCAGTAATAGGTTAAGCAAAAACCTATTCCATCTGGCCAACCATTCATTGTTCTGTTTGCCTGCCTGGAAGTTTGAAGCTGAAGTTGTATTAAAGAGTACTTTTGGAACTGCTGCAAAACGTTTGTGCTTGTGCTTGTTATATTTGTGCTGGCCAGAAGGTAAGCATTTGTCTTTAGGCAAGCGATGAAGCATGGGGTAATTTTCAGATTTAGCAATTTACTCTTTTGCAGTTTGAATTTAAAAGTGCAGCGTCAATGGAAAGAAACTTTGTAAAAACTTATAACTTCAAACAATATTTTGAAAAGTCTTATTTAAATCTTGTACATTTACGTAAAGAAATGTTACAGAAATGGATAATAGTGCAAATCTCACAACAAGAGATGTAATTTTGAATAGCATTTAGCAGCCTGAGATTAAATAACTAACAAATTTAGGTCAGAACGAACAAATGGCTGAAAAGCTGGGAAAGATGTCAGATCAGTATTTTAAGGGATGAATTACAAGTTAGTATGATTTCCTAATCTGTTACAAAGGACACAATCCAACTCCACTAAAGTCAAAGGATATTTTGACATTAATGTCCTGAGTGTGCTGAAGCTTATAGCTTGTGCTATGCTAATTCTGAGAATTTTGACTTGCATTCTATAATTTGTGCTCAAGTATCAAGATAAAAGTAGGGGGAAAAAGGGATCAGTTGGAAAGAAAGGGAGGTGCTGAATGGGTTAAAAAGAGGTTTGCATTTCTACCACATGCCCTATTGTGTGAACATATGCATAAGTCTATTGAAAGTTTTCAGAAGATGGGCAGGCCACCAGTTGCTGATCTCCCGCGGTTCCAGTAGACATCTGTTGCCCCAGAGCATTAACCAATCTGTTCAAGTGGACATCTTTCCTTTGTTAGCATGGGACTGTTGTCTGCAGTATTCTCTGAAATACATGAGTAATTAAATACTTAAAAGTCCTCTAGGAGATACATGTTACATACTGTATTCAGTATTTTGATTGATAACTTACAGTGTTTCAATATTTACGTTACTTGTCTTCTATTCTAATTGTCATCTTATTGAAAATTCAGATCTATTGGCCATGAAGCATCTTATTCGAGATATATTCATGTTAGTCTTGCTATTGAAAACAGTTGCAAAATTTGGCTTACAATCCAAATGCTGTAAAATGCTGACAATCATATTAATAATTTTTTTGCCTCAAGGCAGAAATTTTCATAGATGATATGATCTATGTGTGTTGGATAAAAATAATAAGCGGAACTCATGTAAATTCTTGTTTGGATTTCATCATACTTTAGTAAGACCCCTTTCAATACATTATTTAAAAGGTATGATTTTCCATTGCGAAATTCGAGGAGCTGTTTCCACTGCATTTATTTGTTACTTAAAGAAAATTGATCTGCCTCTAGTTTATTTGTACCATACAGTGCAGCAGATGTTATCTCCAAAGTCTTCTACATTTAACTGCAACTCTAAATATTTCATAAGAACCAATAAGCACAATTATTAAAGTGCTAAAGAAGAACCAAGAAAACTCAAGTTCAAGTGCATTCCAACTATGGAAGTTCACTGGGTGACTTTGGGACAGTCAATCTTTTTCAACCCTATCTGTACCATAATGGGATTGTTTCTGGGTGGGTGAGTAGAGGAAACAGTACTGTGTTGAAATCCTGGTGTGGTGGAACATAACTTTAATCAGAAATGAAGTCATTGTTGCCATGTTCCATGAAGCGATAAAATCTATAGATTTGAAATATGGGAGTGTTTTTGGGATGTTATAGAGGATTCTAAGAAAAACTATCTTAAGGATGCAGTCTTCTGTGCATTTATTCTTTAGTAAATCTCACTGAATCGATGGAACTTTTTTCAAGTAACCATATGGGGTTTGTGGTGTTTTAAACGAAAAAATAATTACATTCGTCGTTTTATGCTTTTCCTCATTTTTTATTTTTAGGTAAACTGTCAGTATCCATTGTAGTGGATTTCCACATAATGCTTGTGATTAGAATGTAAGCATTTTTACAAGAAAGTTCTCTTGTCAGATACCATCTACTGTGCCTTAGTTTATATTCAGTGTGCACGTGTTTAACTCATAACTGTGGAATTTCTTCTCATGATATTTTGTTAGAAGTGGCCAATTTTGTAAATTCGATTTATTTATAATTTTCACATGTTATATATTCTTTAGCTAAAATAATTTCGAACGTAAGTGGACCTTTCCGACTTCCTTTTTTAAATTTCAGCTCTAAATTAGACAAGAAATTGCAATCTGATTACGTCTGTGTTGTATGACAGTGTGTAAGTGAAGCCCAGTCTTACCGAAATCCAATTGAAATTTATGGTTGTTGCTTCGAGAAAATAAATATTTCAGTACAAGGCAGTACCCCGGCATAATGCATGCACTTGGAGAACGGTCCATTACCTCGATGTATTAACTATTAACTACTGCAATACAGGAGCCAATTTGAACTTTTCAGTTCAGTTTAAAAGTGTTGCCTGTTAAATAATTTCCTTCAATCAGAGCAGCTTGCAGGGTTTATGGAACAATGATGTCGGAGCTTCCAGATTCATTTGGCAGCTGCATTGTTCTCCAAGGATATACCAGACGCACTTAAGTCCCCTTCTTTTTTTATAGGCTTTGTTCATACCAAATTATTCCTGCACTCTGCTAGCATTCATGATAGCTTGTTAAAGGAGTGCATCCTAGCAACGGAAAGCTAGTTGCTAAGCAACATAGTTTTCCATCTCTGTTTCTTTTTCTAAGGTACATTTTGGTTGTAGTTTATGAAGGCTGCCAAAGTGTTGGTTTACACTGTATTCTTTTATACCGTTGTAATTTATCAGCGGCAATGGACTTTGAGTGAATTGCAGCAGTTAGAAAATCATCATGTTGTTTAGTTTTACTTTCTGAATTAACCATATATTTGGCCTATAGCATTGTTTGAATGAATTAAAAGGTTATGTTAATAAACTTAAGCTTTTTTCTGTCTTCATTGTCAACACTGATATTATTGTAGTCCAGCATCCTTGAAATAAAATGGGGTAGTTAAAGAAAACAAGCAGACTTTCTGAAAAGAGACTAAAATGAGCTATATAATCCAGTTAAGTTTTATAGTAATATACATCAGGGACAAATCTAATTACAAATAAATAAGAAATTTTTAACAGCTGGGCAAAGAAAAGAAAAATATTGGAGAAAAATAGATTAATGAGAATAAATTATGAACTTTTGACCAGCTTTACTGATAATTACACAATCAATTTTCCTACACGATGAACAATTCAGACAGTTTAAATTTCTAACATTACACATTAAAGATACCAGTATTTCCAGACTGAAGAGTTCAAGCTGCAAAATTAAAACTTTTGCTGTTACTCGGGCTTCGGAAAAACCATGTATGTAAAAGTATGATACTACAAGTAATCTAGGACTATTTTTTAAATGTTTTTTGAGAGAGGGGACAAAATCCACAGATTTAGGCTTCTGGGGATACCCTATGCCATGGCTGTTGTCATTAGATGTGATAATGTTGGACACATGTTGTGGGGGAAAGGGTTGCCTGAAATAGGTCTTTCTATTTTAACTCCCAATCCAGTAATCTGTATTGTTCTCAGTTCCCTCCATCCTTTTATGCTAGATATACCCATTTTCCCTATACACAGTATTGTTTTATGTATATGGAAACTAATTTAGAAAAATCATGTTGGAGGGGATTCCTTTGTGCTTGCTCCTACTTATAGATTAGAGCAGGGCTGTCAAACTCAAGGCCCAGGGGCTGAATCCGGCCCGCGAGGTGCTTCGATCTGGCCCGCGGGGCTACCCTGGAAACAGCGAAGGACCAGTCTGTGGTGCCTCTGCCAGCGAAAATGGAGCTTGGGTGGCTGCGACAGCCTCCTGCAACCCTCTGCCAGCGAAAACGGAGCTTGTGGCCCTCCCGAGTTCCATTTTCGGTGGCAGAGGGTTGCAGGAAGCCGTTGCAGCCACTCAAGCTCTGTTTTCACTGGCAGAGCCCTCGGGCCACCACAGGCGCCCCCAACATGAGTGAAGTCGAGCTGGCCATGCCCACCTGTTCCCCAAGGTTAAACACAACCCTGATGCGGCCCTCAATGAAATCGAGTTTGACACCCCTGGATTAGAGGAAATGTTTCTATTTTTTTTCCTTTCTGCTTTGTCTCATAAATTGCTTTGTACTTTGAATACATATTCATTTCAGAAGCTTCTCAAAGTCATATTTGCATGCAGGGCATGTCAGGCATTTCATAATGAGGTGATCAAAAGAATATTTGGATCCAATATTAAAAAGAAAAAAATAAATGAAAATTGCAAAGTACATTTTAAAAATCAGTTTTAACTTTGTCCTTTATTTTTTAGGACTACAGGATACTTTGTACACAGAAAAACCAACAAAGTGGAGTCAACCACATGCAGCAGCAGCTTCATGGGCTTGAAGGATCACTTGAAGCATGACCTTGGGCACCTCTATGAGGATACATCAGAGACTCAAATAAGTGCAATAGCACCTTGGTCAATGATAGAAAAGCCAACTATGGATAAAATTAATTCTAGAAAGGAGGATCCTAAGAAAGAACTGTCTGAAGAAACCGGAACCTTCAGTTGTGATTCTAAGAAAAATACAAATTCTGATAATGAATTGGGAAAAGCAACTAAAATTAGAACAGAACCATGCTCCTTATCTAAGGATCACAGACAGACGTATCCATCTTTAGAACCACATATACTAAAGCGCAATGAAATTTTACAAGACATTAAGTTAGAGGAAGTTCAGATAGGAACTAAAGAAATTAAAAAGCCTCCTGATATGGTGAAAGAATATCAAACCAAACTTGACTTTGCACTTAAGTTAGGTTACTCAGAAGAGCAAGTTCAACTTGTGCTGAATAAACTTGGTACTGATGCTTTAATCAATGATATATTGGGGGAGCTGGTCAAACTTGGAAATAAAACTGAGGCAGATCAGAGTGTAAGTTCTATTAACACTAGTGTAATGCGAGAAGCATCTTCTGTTGACTCTCAGAGATCTGACTCTCCCCTTCAGGAGGATGTGCTTGTGGATGGTGACAACCTGAGACCAATAGTTATTGATGGCAGCAATGTGGCAATGAGGTATGTTGCAGTACAGTGTTGTTTTTACATATTATTATATTATTTTGTGCACACAATTGTATTTATGGCCCACTGAATCAGGTTTCTATCATTGAATGGAGTAAGTCAATATTTATTTATTTATTTATTTATTTATTTATTTATTTATTTATTTATTTATTTATTTATTTATTTATTTATTTATTTATTTATTTATTGGTTCGATTTATGCGCCGCCCTTCTCCGGAGACTCAGGGCGGCTTACAATGCGTTAAGCAATAGCCTTCATACTTTTGTATATACCTGCTTAGTAGGGCTTTTGGCCCCCCCAAGCGGTGTTCTTTTTTATACAAAGTCATCTTATTGCCCCCACAATCCGGGTCCTCATTTTACCTACCTCGGAAGGATGGAAGGCTGAGTCAACCTTGAGCCTGGTGAGATTTGAACTCGCAGTAATTGCAGGCAGCTGGCAGCTAAGTGCTACTTAACAGCGCTTTAGTCCGCTGCTCCACCAAGGCTCATTTACTTGGATAAAAGGTATCACAATTTGAAGACTTCTTTTGAAAATTCAGCATCCCAAGAGCAATACTATAGAAACATGATGTAAATTCCTCAGCAACTCTGATACAGAGTGTTAAGGATCACAAATATCCACAGCAGCATCCACTAGGCAGATATTTTCTTGTGGGAGAAAAGGAGAGGATATGCAGCATCCTTAACCCCTCAACCCCAAATGCTTCCAAAGTTGCAGTTTGGTTTTTTCCACTCAGATTGTATTTTAATGTGCTTTTTGAAACGAATTATTCTATACTAAATATTCTGACCAATTTATTTTACTGACATAGGGAAGTGCACGTTAATTTATATATTGGGGGGGAAATGATTGCTTACAGAAAATACAGATTTATATTTCATAGCATTGTCATTTTAACTTATGGTCCATTGGTCCATTTCAGACATTATGCAAAATTTAAATCATTATTCAAAACAAACCCTATTTGAGTTTTTTTTAAAAACCCACTTTTTTCATATACAACTCAGTGCGTCAAACAGCTCAGTCTTCCTTCCTCCTCCAATTTTCCCTACAACATCATCCCTGTGAAGGGAGCTGGGTTGAAAGAATATGGCTGCTCAAAGTCACCCAACTGGTTTTTCATGCCTAAATCGGGACCAGAACTCACAGTCTACTGATTTCTGGGCCAGCACCTTAAAACCATAATTGCTTGTTTATATGCACTTCTTGTTTTGATGGGGCAGCTGATCCCAGATAAGGAGCAGACTTCATCTGCAGCGTGTCAATATGGGATTCTTCCAAACAATAGTTGGAAATTACATGCAGCAGACCCTTTACAACTTTGGTCTTTGAATTAGTAACCTATATTCTTCTGAAACCCTAGTCATAATGTTCTAAACAAAAAAGAATGCAATTCACAGTTTAATTTAAAATTTAACTATTTATGCCAGTTTGGATTATTGCAACTTGCTTTACAAAGCTGTCTTTGAAAATTATCCAGAAAGTTCAACTAGTCTCCAACCTTGGCAACTTTAAGACTTGTGGACTTCAACTCCCAAAGCAAAGCTGGCTGAGGAACTCTGGGAGTTGAAGTCCACAAGGCTGGAGACCCCTGTTCTAGAATATAGCCGTTCAAGTAACATCCTTCAACTACCTGCCATTTGACTTCCAGATACACTTTAAGATGATAGTTATCACCTTAAAAGCCTTATGTGGTTTTGGGTCTGTATATCTATGAGACCGCCAACTCCTAGAGCTTCAGCTATTCTGATAATATCAAGGCAAGCTTGCTCCAGCTTCTTACCCTTAGGAACTTTCATTTACAGGGACCTTCTGTAAGCAGTTGCGCCTTCTTAGTCTTGCTCAACTGAATAAATACATAGCTGAATATATTATAGGGAACTGTGTAGGAAGCAGGACCATTGTGGTCAGTGTTTATACCTGAACAAAGTGAGATAAGCAACTTGGCTCACCATCTTTGGAAACTAATAGGGTAAAAAATAATGCTTCAAAGCAAATTTGACAGCTACAGTACATTGTAAAATGAACACTGATAATGATAAGCTAGTTAGAAGACAACCCCTATTTACAAAAAAAACCTCTTGCACTAGAACAAAAAATTAGATCAGCAATCTGGTCACTACCAAGTCAGAAAGCTATAGAAACTGATGGAATACCTACTGATATATGAGAAGCAGCAGAAAAAAATCAGTAAATTTTCTAGCCAATGTATGCCAGCAAATCTGCAGAACAACACAGTGCCACTAGATTGGAAAAGATCAGTCTGCATTCTAATATCAAATAAAGGAGATTTAATAGAGTATGCAAATTGGCATGCAATAATCCTTAATTTCACGTGCTAGCAAAATAATGCTTAGAATCATCCAACACAAATTAAAGCCCTATATGGAAAAGCCTGGAGGAACGTCCATGGGGTTGCGATGGGTCAGACACGACTTCACAACTAACAACATGGAAAAGGAGATGCTAGATATTCAAGTTAGCTTTAGAAAAGGCTGAGAAAGATATGACGTTACTGTTGATACATGCTACATAATTGAAAAAGCCAAAGAATACCAAAAATAAATCAGTATATGTTTCATTGATTATAGATTGTGTTGATTGTGTCAAGCTGTAGAAAAATGGGAAACCCAGAATATGTCATCCTCATGTGAAATCTATATGCAGGTTAGGAAGTCATAGTACAGACAGTACATAGTGAAATATAGTTCCAAGTTGGCAAAGGAATGAGACAAAGCTGTACACACTCCCCTTTTTTATTCAACTTATGTGCCAAAATATATATTAAGGCAAGCTGGATTGGAAGAAGATGAGAGTGATTTAAAATTGGACAAAGAAGCCTCCATAACCTGTGCTATTCCAATGGCACTATTCTGATAGTGAAAATTGCAAAGGATCTACAGACTTCAAGAGAGAGAAAAAAAGGAACACAATGAAAAGATATAAAGAACAACTGATGACAACTAGTATAACAACCATTGTTAGAACTGACAGTGAAACTATTGAAGTGGAACATAACTTCTATGTTTTAGGATCAATTATAAAAGATAGGATAAAGGAACAAGCAGTCAAATATGCCTAAGATTAGTATCTGGAAGATAAGTAATGAAGGTCTTGGAAAAGATGATGTGTATATATTTACAAATATCAGAATTGTGCATGTGGCATTTCATGAAAGTAAAAGTTGGGGTGAAAAAGCTGAATAGAAAGATATTGACACTTTTGAACTTTGGTGTTGGAGAAGACTTCTGAGAATACCATGGATAACCACAAAAATAAACTAAGTGAGATCACTGAGCAATTAGCCCAGAGTTCTCACTCAAGGCACAAATGACAAGGCTCAATTTCATTACTTCAGACCCATTATGTGAAGACCTAGCTCTCACATAAAAATTCTGATACTGTGAAAGGTAGAAGAAACAAAGAATAGGAAGACCAGAAGCAAAGTGGATGGACTTGTTATAGTGACAATAGATGCATCATTGGAAGACATAAAGGACCAGTGTAAAAATTGATTGCCACGTAGCACATTTATTTGGTTGCTATGAGTCAACCCCAACTTGATGGCATATAATCAGTCAATAGAACTACAGTAAGATGCTTAACCAACCACCTCCATGATAGGATCAAACTGTTAAATGGGCTTGTTGTTGAATCATTCAGCAAATATGCATGATAATATATTATCTTGTTAAAACTCCTATTAGCAAACAATAAGCAGTAAATATAATTATTAAATTAATTATTAAATATAATTATAGCAGTAAATATTATTACAAATAATAATGAAATAAACCAACCTTTCCCCTCAAATGGAACATACAACATATATAAAGCTAAAGTGGACTGCAAACTTTTTAAAATTTGAAACTCTCTCAAGTTTGAAATGAAGTGTGACAGTCATTCTGGAAGCATTTTGAGCTTGAAAATACCTCTCCGTCCAGTTCAAAACATTTCATTGCAAGCTTGAAACATTTCCAGAATGATTGAAACTGTGGGCAGAACAACTGTTGCAAACTCTTGGAAGTAGAAAAGGAACAGAAACTAATCCAAACAGAATGTTCTTCCAACTAAAGTAATATTTATTGCTGTACTGTAAACAAAGTAAATAATTTGTTTGTATTTGAAATATGTAATTATCTCTATTGTGTCTGTGCATGCCTTAATTACATGCCTAGCTTAACAATCTAATATACATTTATTTACAGAGCTTCTTTGAAGTTTCTTAACTCCCCTCCTTTAGCCATAAATTGCTTAATTTAATCACATTTGTTAATGCCTTCTCTAGACAACTTTGCTTTTCTTCATTTTTCTAAGCCAAGCTTTTTTTTTATAAGGTATTGAGAAAGAGAAGAAAAGGCAAAATCCCCTCTTTTTCCAGGCATCTTCTAGATCAGGGGTGTCAAACTCAAGGCCTGGGGGGCAGATCTGGCCCACGGGTTGCTTAGATCTGGCCTGCAGAGCCGCCCTGGAAACAGCGAAGAGCTGACCTGTGGTGCCTCTGTGTATGGCCCTCCCGAGCTCCATTTTCGCTGGCAGAGGGTTGCAGGAGATCGTCGCAGCTGAAAACGGAGCTTGGGAGCCCGTTTTTGCCTGCAGAGCTATCAAGCCACCATAGGCGCCCCCGACAGGAGTTATGTCGAGCTGGCCATGCCCACCCCAGCCCCCCCGAGGTCAAACACAACCCTGATGCGCCCCTCAGTGACATCGAGTTGGACACCCCTGTTTTAGACATCCAATGTCGCTCCTTTTTTCCAATTCTCCAACCCTTTTAGCAGATACTCTATTTACTAATCTGTATTCCCAGTTCTCCCTGTTCCTGCTGGAGCATCAGTTGTACATTCCTTCTTTTTCTAGTAATCAATCCTCCAATGGCTGTGATCACTTTGATAGGTAATACTCCATTCCACCCACCTCAAAGCACAAAATTCAACTCTTCAGTTTAATAAATCTGCCACTTACAAATCCTCCTCAAGGAGGCAGATGT